CAACTCAAAAAAAAAAAAAAGAAATAGAAACTCTTAGTAAATCATAATTACCTTTCCTCTCCAAAAGACATCACATGAAGAATGTGTCATAAAGAAGTCTGTTGTTTTTCTATTCAAATTGCCAACTACTAGTACTGTCGCTGTTGCTTACCCAATATAATTTCTCGCTTTCTAACAATCTGATCCTGTTTTACAGCAAGGAAAATAGGCATATAGAGCTTGACTCATCCAGTGTCACAGTTTGTAATTTAAAGAATTAGGTTGAAAAGCTAGAAAATTAAATTCCAAAGCTAGTACATTGTGTGGGCAGCAGCAGTACACCCTCCCTCCCCCTTTTGTCCTATCATTTCAGTTGTCCTTGACTAAATTTTCTCCTTTTTCCTTCTTTAAGGGGGCAAGAATTACATACATGAATTTTAGATCTATTGCCCACCAGTTTCTCAAGGACATCATGGCAAACACCGCAGGTTGCCCATAAAATATCTACTCTCCTCATCTTCTTTGCTAACAAAACTGAATTTTTGTTCAGAGTGGCACTGTGACCATATTTCCCAAGTTCCTTTGCAGCTAAAGCTCGCCATATGACACAACTTTGGCCCAAGAGATATAAATGGAGAACTTATAGATGGAGTCTAATTAAAAAGTACGGACTTAGTTGGGAAATGCTGTTTGTCCATTGCATTTCCTCCTTTTCCCTTTCTGGATCACAGCTATGAGGCTGGTGAAGCAGCAGCTGTCTTGTAACCATGAGATGTCAAGCATGAAGATGCCAACCACATTGTAAGGATGACACAACTAGAGGAAAGAAGGAAACTGGTTCTAGAGCTATGACACCATCCCTGGATTACCTCCCCTGGACACCTTGCTAAGTGATTTTTTAAAAAACCAAACCTTTGAAGCATCCACCATAGTTGGCCCACAAGCCAAATCCCAAAACCAGCCCACCACCTATTTTTGTACTGATCATAAGCTAAGAATGAACTTTACATCTTTAAATGGTTGTAAAAGGTTTTTTAAAAAGTACTTTGTGACATGAAAATTATATGAAACTCAAATTTCAGTTATTTATAACTTATTTTATAGTAAGTTATTTCACTTATTCCTCTGCATGTTGTTGATGGCTGCCTTCCCTCTATACCAGCAGAGCTCAGTCATTGTGACAGAAACCATATGCAGCACTGTCATTGCTTTGCATTGCTGCTCAGCCCACTACAAACAACAGTGATGCTGCACCATTCCATTCCATTCCATTTCCAGCACCTGCCTATCTTGTCAAAACAAGATGCTTCTAAAGCACAGTGGTGTGTGCATTATTTTGTTATCAAATTAAATGGCAAAACAGTATGTTTACCTAGTCTGGGCAACAGAGCAAGAACTAGTCTCTACTTAAAAAAAAATTTTTTTTAAATTAGCCTGTCACTTATATACCCAGCTACTAAGGATGCTGAGGTGAAAGGATCACCTGATCCCAGGAGTTCAAAATCCTCCCACCTCAGCCTCCTAAGAAGCTGGGATTATAGGTGTGAGCCACCACACCCAGCCCATTTCTTCAAACATCACTCTGAAAGCGGAGATCCCCGTGTATATGTAAAACTAATAAAACTTTTTCTTTTCTTTTGTTGTTATTTTGCCTCATGTCAATTTGGTTCCTAGACCCAGCCAAAGAGGCCATGTAAGAGCTTAGGAAGGGGATGGAAGTGATCACTCCCTCCTCTAAAATCTCATCTCATAAGGATTTCTTCACAAAAATTAAAAATAAAAAAGAGACTGCAATGTTTGTTGCAGCTCTATTCACAATAGCAAAAACATGGAACCAGCCATGCTGCCCACTGAAGCTGGACTGGGTTTTTAAAAAATGTGGTATATGTACACAACGGAATATGATGTAGCCATAAAGGACAAACATATCGACTTCACAGCAACTTGAATGGATTTAGTGTCTAGCATACTCAGTGATCTATCACAGAAACAAAGAACAGAGTGTCATAAGTTCTCACTCATAAGTGGACCTTGAACAATTATCATAATACTATAAGAAAGGTATTGGCAGTAGTGGGAAATTGCCAGGGGAGGGTGGGTGGGATTGGCAGTTGAGGGAAACTACCAGGGGAAGGAGGGGCACAACTCATCAACAAGGGTACCTGCATAATGAACATTTGTATACCTAATGCCGAATTGTACCCCATATCTTTAAAATAAAATGTTTTCAAAAATTTTAAAAAAGAAAGATATTAAAGATAACCTTTCAAATTTGAAAAAAGAGGCTGCAAACAAAGTAAGCTTCTGAGTGACTCATTTGCTAGTGATGCCTGGAAAACTTTTCATGTGATGAGTTGATTCAATAATGTTTGAGCGCAGGGGTCAAAGAAATGTAGTCAGAGAAATTAAGCTTGTTTAAAGCGTTTGAGGAGAACAGCTGCTAAAAGAGTTGAGGATATAGGGAACAACATCAACAGTCAGTTAAAAAAAAAAACTGGCAATGATTGAGCAACTCCACTCCTAGGAGCCTACCAAGAGAACTGAAAATATATGGCTATACAAGAACATGCACATGAATGTTCATAGTAGCGTTATTCAAAATAGCCAAAATGTAGAGGCAACTCAAATGTCCATCAGCTGATAAATGGATAAACAAAATATAGTATATTCATAAAATGAAATTGTGTTCAGCTATAACAAGGGCTAAAGTATTGATTCATGATACAACATAGAATGAACCTTATGCTAAGTGAAATAAGTCAGATGCAAAAGGTTACATATTATATGATTTCATTTATGTGAAATGTCAAGAAAAGGCAAATCTACAGTGACAGAAAGTATATTAGGGAGTGCCAAAGGTTGGGGGGAAAATGGTGAGTGACTGCAAATATGCTCTTTTTAGGGTAATGAAAATGCTCTTTAATTAGATAGTGGCGATGGTGGTGCAACTTTGTGAATACAATAAAAATTACAGGGTTGTACATATTAAAGGGATAAATTTTATTGTATGTGAATTGTACCTCAATTTTTAAGATATTAGCAAACAAATAAACAAGAAAAGTGATTTTGAGTGGTTTTCCCTGGCTCTTAATGAATTGACAAACGTTGCTGATACTGCCTACTGTTCAGTGGTTGATATTCTAGAAGTCAACGCTGTTTGAAGTGGTTAAAGAATAGCCCTTATGAATAGTGTGCATATAACAACCACAGGCAAGAATATTTTCAAAGAAGCTGAAAAAATGCTAATTGAGTACAACCTAAAGTAGAGTCTGCTAAGAGTGTTACAGCTGATGATTTTAAAAAACGGTATATGTCAAACAGAAAACACTTAGTTGAACAAAGCTTGTGAACATGTGAA